TGTTTACACATACTGGGGGTGCCAAAAACTGTATAGTCATGACTTGTAGTCATCTTTTGTTATTGGTATAAATTGAGTATTACAATTTTAATAGTTTTTTCCTTTCTTAAAATGTGTATACATTTTTTTGGCACCCTCTGTATATCAACTTCCTTCACTATTCTATTTACAGTTATACCCCTTATATTCCCTATCCCCCTTCCTTGCCTTATTTTTTTATAGGTTAGCTCATATCAGTCCCTATTCAAAATTAACATCTTTTAACGTACTACACATTTTGCATTCTTTTTTGTTGTTTATTATCTTTAAGCATCACAATGGCAGGTTTGTTTGTCTGTTTTGTTCCCTGATGTGTCCTCAGAACCTAAAAGAGTGCCTGGCACACAGTAAGCTCTCAAATAGTGTTTGTTGGATGTTGAAATAATGAATAGTGGGTAGATATTATGAAGACAATTGAAATTGTTTTTAAAAGTTCAAATGAGTTTTAAATGTTCCACATACCTGGGAGTAATATAATTTAACAGTTGGTAGATAATGTTATTTTTCAAAGTACTTCTTTTTTCCTGTTAGCCACCTCTTTCTCCCCACACTTGGAGCACCTGATCCTTGATTAAGTTTCCTACATCTCTGAATTAACAGATGAAGAATTATTTCTTTAAATTTATTTTAAATTAGGTATATTTCATGAATTTGTTCTCATTGTAAAACAAAATAACAGATGTATGTGGAGCAAACAATGAAAACATCCTTTCATCTCTTCTACCAACGCCATCTTCTTCCCCAGAGGTAACTCCAGTGACAATTTGAGCTAGTGTGACTGAGAGACTGAGTTTTTTATTTCATTTCATTTAAATTAGTTACAATTTGAATTTAAATAGCCCCATGTGCCTGATAGCTGCCATGTTGGACAGCAGAGGTCTAAACGATCTCTACACAATTTTACCTATTTCTCTCTCTTTAACCATATATGATATCATACTATATAACATGTATACATATTGCATATATTGTGTTATGACTTGCTTTCTGTATTCAACAAAATGTCTTAGAAATTGTTCCCTGTCAGCACATATGTATCTGTCCTACTGTTTTTAATGGTGCTTATTACTTCATAATATGTGCATATTATACTTAGCTAAATGAAAAATGGATGCTTCTTGATATTGAGCCATATACTGGGCCTCCTTTTCCTCCACTACACTGGCAGCTGTTATGGCTTTGCACCAGCTGCCTGATAGGAGATTTTACATAATCAATAACACAATCTAAGAATCCAGTGAGTCACTGTTAGGCCTCACTATAAGATCTGCTTTTTCTTTCCTTTCTGTCTTCAAAAGACTAAAATATTCTGACCCCAAATAAAATCAGGCTTTAAAAAATATGTTCGGATTTGGGTAAACACAAACCTAACAGTATGAGACTGAGGGATGAGATGTTGTAATGTCTTTTTGTAATTCTGAATTTGAGGATCTGAAGCTGGTGAGCCCTGAGGCAAAAGGCCTATCTGGGGAAGTAGAGCCTTTCCGAAATCCTGCTCTTGTCTCTTTTGCATCTCCTGATTAAAATGTCCTGTTGTCGTAAAATTCTGTCCTACTGGAAGACATCCTCGAGATAGTTATGACTTTATTAACTATGGGTAATTCACTTTATTATTGATCTCCGTGCTTTTAATATGCCTTGTCAATATTTGCTAGCTAATATCTATTGAGCTTGGCATCATACTGTTATATATACTGCATCAGTCAAGGCTCTGGTAAAGACACAATGGCTTGCTCTAAAGAAGAAAATTGAAGATAGTCTAATAAAGGGACTATTTACAAAGGCATGGGCAGGGTCTAAGGAAACCTCAGGGAATAGTATGCACCCTTAGGCATCAAAGGACAAGAGGAGAGTGTGATTACCAGAACTTCGCAGCACACTCTATAAAGAGGGCCCCCTCACGGAAGCTGTGGGCTTCAGTAAAAGGACAGAACCAACATACTGCCCACTAGAAGGTAGGAAGTCAGGGAGACAAATATCCTGAGCTCACTCTTGCACTGCCCTCCAGTGTTTTGCACGGTTTCCATGGACCCAACCCAACTGGAAGTAGGAAGACAACAGAGCCCATTGGAGCAGTCCATATAGGAAGCCATACAGAGAAGAGTAGAGAAGAGTAGGAAGAGACCAGATTTTGGGGAGGCAAAAGGAAGATATTAATCACACACATATCATTTCATTTACTCCTCACAATAGCTTCATGAGGGTGATCATTTTATTATCCCCCTTCTATACATGAGGATACTGAAGGTTAGAGAGGTTAAGAACCAGAAATTTTCTAAAAATCCAATTTAAAAAATCAAATGAATATTAAATAATGAAGCTAGAATTTGAACTCAGGACTGTCTGACTGGATTTTCCTACTGTAGTTAAGAATAGCTTAGCTTAAACAAGCAATTCTGTTGTCATCACCATCAGCAATGCTATGCTAAATTCTGATTGGATGATTAGCTTGCTGTCTACCTGGTCCAGTTGTCAGTCAGTGATGCACACTGCATAAGAATATATTCTACTAACCAGTTTTTGCACTCAAGTAATGTTTGCATTGTATGTCCTATATAGTGCTTCATAGCTTTTGTTTTAAGGAAGTATTTGACAATGTCCAATTAAACACATTCTGCCAATGAAATGCCCTGTATTTAATGTCTTCCCCTTTAAAAAGCCTGACGGGAAGATGGCTTTGGTATGTTACTATGGTGAAGTTTTACATAACCAGAACTTGCATGACAATTAGGGAACATATTCACATGCAATGACTGGGTGTTCTGAAATCTTAAATTAAGTAGAGAGAAGTTTTAGTGCAGTGTAGCTCCGAGTCTGTGGTCTGGAAAGGCCCCTGCACATGTGAGGTCCAGGTTGCTTGGCCAGGGCTTCTTAACCCTTTGAAGTCCTTGCTCTCTTCTGTCAAACATAAAAGTTTTGTGTGCCTTCCCAACCCTGAATTTGGAATACGGCTTCCTCGGTAGGCAGGGTCTATCCTCTGATTATCTCTACCTGTCCAGAGGCTTGATTTCTATGACTTGTGTGTTGAAAAGCATATGATTTTTTCCGTAAATATAAAATTATTGAATACTGAATATGCCTCTTCAAACGAAAACCTTCTCCCATTCTACAATGGCCACCCTTCAGATTGCTGCCCCAGAGTCAATTCTGTTCCTTCCTTTGTTTCTCTCCCCTATTTATTCACCCTGCAAACATTGAGAGCATATGAAACACAGAGCATGTGCTAGGAAACACTTGACAATGTGATCTGCCCCTTTGCTCCTGTTTTCCCCGCAGTTTCGCAGTTTCCGTGCCAGGATAGCCTTAAAAGGATCCTTGATCTCTTGAGCTAATTCAGTGAGTGTTGGTTCCTTTCAACCAGGGGAGTCAAATTAGAATACACAACTTGTAAGTGCTGAAGAGGGGATTTGAACCCAGTTTGTGTCTATGGGGCCTCTGTTCTTGTCACTGCATCCTTTTGCCACATTATAAACTCTGCTTGGGCCCACCATGGCCCACAAAGTCACCTTAATGTATTTTAAAAAGAACCAATAACAGACTTAAGTTTTCTGAATCCATGTCCCAAGTCTTAGGCTGCTTTCAGGTCTCTGAATGGGAGGGTGGGGGTTAAGAAAGTCTCAGGCGATTGGGAGGTCTCCAAACAACTCTGGGACAGGACTCCAGCTTCCAGATCGGAAGGTGCTACAATGGGGAGAGGGGTGGGGGCAGGGCAGGGTCCGTTCTTGGCAGTGCAGAGAAGAACGGGGGCTCCTCCAGAACGGGCCTGATCTTATCCCTGCTTCTATCCCCAGTTCTAAAATAGTGTCTGACATATATTTGAATGAGTGAATGAATGAATGGATGAATAAGTGAATGGCAGAAGTGGGTCATAGCCCCTCTTCAAATGCATGGATCGTTCTTCAGTTGAGCCTTTCCAGGTTGAGGAACACCTGTTTCTATCTCTAAGAAATAATTCATGCAACAATATTATGAGTAATGTTTACAGTGACTCATCAACTTCAGCTTCAAAAATACCAAAGATGATGTAGTGATGACCATGGTAATGACATAGTTCAAAGATTACAAATGGACGACCCTGGATGGCATTTGCCCTGTTTACAAAAATACCGCTGGCTTTGTCTTCCCCTGTCTGGAGAGTGAGGTTTTCATTTTAAGAGGCTGACTAAAAAATGCAGAGCCACTTCCTGGGCAGGCTTCCAAGTGACTACATCTCTCTCACAGCGCTCCCCAGAGCCCCAGCCCCAGCTGCCTGGGGCGGGGCCTCCAGCCGTTGGTGGCTGTTGGAGGTACCACAGGAGCAGTTATCTGCAGCCCGCCAGAAATGCTGTGTGATTTGGCCCTCCCAGAGAGCAGATAACGTCTTTGGCCTTTGCATTGGAGAGACGTCAGAGCTTGTGATTGGCCAGACTGGTGTGTGTGAAATACAGGAGATGTCTGCCACATTGCTGAGTATGGCATTCCTTCCAACTGAGTACCCCAGGGTGTGGGTAAGTCTTAATGCACAAAGTCTGCCCTTGTTGGTTGTGAAATGTTCAAAGCTGAGCATGGTGACTTTCCAAGGGCATGACTTAGCATATTTCTTAATCCTACTGAGCCTCAGTTTTCTTTTCTATGAAATGGAGGTGTATTATCCTGTACTATAGAAGGATAAAATGCCTATGGAAGGACAGAAGGATCTAGCCATCACAGGGTGTTGTGAGGCCTACCTCACTTGGTACCTGGCATATAGTAGACACTAAAGAGCTCTTACTATTTCTGAAGCATCAGTCAAAAAAAAAAAGGTTTCAGTGATGATGTCCCCGTTTTTATTTCTAACAGTACAATACTTTTCTGAAAGACTCAGCAGATACATTCTATTTCTTGACCATGCCTGTATAGCCAACAGAAATAAAACTTCAGGGGAAGTTAGTACCAAATGAAAATTTGTCAGCCTCTATTCCCTTTCTCTTTTTCCCTTCTAGACCCTGAATGCACCTGCCCCATTTGCAGATGAAACCAGCTGCCAGTGCCAAGCACCCCATGAAAAACTGACCATTGCTCAGGCCCGCTTAGGAACACCAGGTGAGGCTGTATTTCTCGTTCTCCGAATGGGCCCGGTCTTGACATCCAAAGCAGCAGACAGGCCTATCATTATGTGAGCAGCACTCGCTTTCAATCAGACAGTTGAATTTAGAGATCATAGCACAGCAGCGCAAGAAGAACAACACCAACAGTAATAAACTCAACAAACCAAAGTAGCTAAGTCAAATGTGCAGCGGGAGACCGGAGTTGGAGCCCCAGCTACGCCATTTACTAGTTCTGTAGCCTTGGGCAAGTCACGAGAATAATCAGAATCTGTTTCCTCACATGCAAACAGGGACAGCGATACCTGCTTCACAAGGTTTTTGTAACAACTAGGCTCGGTTAAAAATACCAAAGTATTTTGAAAACTGTGAAGACTTATACAAACCTAAGCTACTATAATTATTATCACTTTTAAAAGTCTGTGTTTTAAAAACATTTCTCTGTGTGTCCCTTAAAGAGCCTGGGCTCTGCTCTCGGAGTTTGTTCATTTGTTCACCCCGTTAGTGTATACCAGAGCCGGACAGGGAAGAGATTTAAAAAGAACTCTGAGGTACCATCTCTGTTTCACAAGAGCTTCACTACAATTAACAAGACAAGACAACTACCGTACTTCCCCATGTATAAGACACTCCCATGTATAAGATGCACCTTAATTTTGGGGCCCGAAATTTGAAAAAAAATGTATTACATAAAGTTATTGAACTCAAGTTTCATTCATCATAAAATCCATACAACTTCTCATCACTGTCAAAACTCCCAACCATTAGCTTGTCCTCATCTGTGTCTGATGACGAATCACTGTCTTCATATATTGCCTCGTCCTCAGCGGGAAATGCAAGTAAAAACAATCTACAACCACTTATAAGACGCACCCAGTTTTTAGACTCCAAATTTTTCGAAAAAAGGTGCATCTTATACATGGGGAAATACGGTAGATATGAAATAAAACCCACCAGTAGAGGGCAGACCTGTGCTTAGGGGTTAAATCCTGCAACACAGATGATAACTGACAGTTTTAAAAGAGTCGTAGGGCCTGGAACAGTCAGGTAACACCTGGTAACAGACCTCCTTTTGGGAGATGTAACACTTGGACTATGTGGGCAAAAAATGGAAGGGTATCCTGGGCCAGTGGAACAGGAATAGTGAAGGCATGGAGATAAAAGGGTGTGGAGCAGTGAATGAATGCATTCCAGTTGGTTGGAATGGAGTGGGAAATAACTAGTTAGCAGGTAAGCTTTGAGCCATTTAAGATGTCTCAAAAACAAACATCCTGAATTTAGTAGAATCCATGCCACAAAGGACAGTTTTCTTAATGATAATAACAATAGATATTTATTGTTTACTATTACTAAGTTCTTTATATGTATCATATCATTTCACTATCACAAATCTATGTGATTAGTACTTTTAGTTTTTCACAGATGAGGAAAAGGCTTTAGAGAAGCTGTGGATCTGCACAGGATCATTTCAGCTAGTAAGTGGCAGTTATTCTCACCCTTGAGTTGACATCAGAATCACCTGGAGGGCTTGTTAAAACACAGATGATTGGACCCCATTCACAGAGGTTCTGATTCAGTCCAACAGGGGTGGGGCCTGAAAACTTGCCTGTCTAACAAGTTCCCAAGGGATGCTGCTGCTAGGGGACCACACTTTGAGAACCACTGGTAAGTGGTGAAGCTGGGATTTGATTTCAAACCTGTTTGTGTTCAAGGTTGTCCTCAAATAATGTCATTTTGTTCAACATTGTTTCATTATGTTGTTGATGAGATGCTGTAGGAATCTAACTCTTGCTTACATCAATGAGCCTATGATAAAATTGGTTTTATTATACATCATTTCACTTAAAGTCACAGAACCTATTGATGATGTTAAGTGAGGACTTACTGTGTAGCTTGGAGAGAGTGAAGTGAGAATGAGAGTGGGACAAGTTAGACTTCTTTTGAGAAAGGCAAGAAGGGGCTTAGGGCTGGAGTTTAGAGCAGCTAAACCAGACTTTGGTGCCCAAAGAATCACCTGGAAAGTTTGTTCAAGAAACAGATTTACCGCTCTCTGTCCCCCACTCCTAAATCTGGCATGAGGCCCAGGCATCTGTATTTTTAATGAACAGCCCAGACAAATCCAAAAGATGCAATGAAAGTCCAGGTGGTTATTTTTTTTTTTTTTTAGCTGAGCCATCCCGCCACCTGTTGGCAGCTCACGGCTGCTCAGCTCGGGCTGACTCGAACCACTGTTGCTCAGAGCTCAAACTCTTGAGTGAGCTCTTAACCAACTGAGCCACTCAGCCGGCCCCCAGGTGGTTATGAACAGACTTGACCTAAAGTTAAAGGATGACCTACAGGCCCAAACAGAAAAGGACCCTGCTTTTCTAGTGAAAGGAAGGAAGTTGAACTTACTCTGCGTTTGCCAAGTGTTCTGCCCTGTACTCTGGCTCATTTCGTCTTTGCAAAAACTGTGTGTGATGGGTATTATTGTGTCCCTTCTACAGATGAGGCAAATGAGACTTGGAGAACTGAAAAGTTACTTGTCAAATGTTCTAGCTGACTGGGTAGAGCTAGGATTTGACACCAAGTCCCTTTCGCCTCAAACCCCTGCTTTGTCCACCACAATGGGCTGCGCTGTGGTGCACGGGCCACAGCAGACCATGGAGCTCAATGAAAACTTTGAACTCAAGGGTTAAAGTTGTGTTAACAAGACAGACAGACAGTAGCTGGGATCTTGTGCAGTGGGGGGGACTGTCTGTTTTGCTCACTGCTGCTTCACCAGCACCTAGAAACATACTGATCAAGTACTGTGTGCTCAGTAAATATTTTGTGCGTGAATGAATGAAGGGAAGTTTGGGACAAGAGAAAGACCTTGTCCTCTGGAAGTAGAGAGAGTTGGTCTGGTGGCTTTGAGACAGCATCAAGCTAATTGGGTGAGATTGGGCATCTGCACATTGTCTAACCACCAAGCAGTTGAAACCCCAAGAATCAAGGTAGAATAAGATGGCAGTGCATTTTGAAATAGCTGTGTGGTGGACTCTGTGGAACACGGGCCACTACAGGAGGAGTGAGATGGAGCAAAGGCGAACTCCTAGTCTTAGAAGACAAATTCTCCCCTCTTATCTCAGGTGACGACCCTGGGAAGTTACCTAGAGAATTTGTGATATTGATGGGCTCCTGGCCTGGGAAACTTCTGTTAGAACTTTTAACATCAGTGTTAAAATGTGACAAGAAGTTAGTTCTTTGATTACCTAGAAGGCACATATTAGTCTTAGACCTCGCTCTGATAACCATTGTTTTATTAGAGCAGTGGTCGTCAAACTTCATTGTACTTAGTATCCCCTGGAGGGCTTGTTAAAACTGACTGCTGGGCTCCACCCTCAGAGTTTCTGATGCAGTAGGTCTGAGGTGGGGCTGAGAATTTGCATTTCTAACAAGGTCCCCAGTATGCTGATGTTGTCTGTCCTGGGACTGCACTGCAAGAATCGCTGCCTAAGAGTAACCATCAATTGGAATATCATGCTAAGCAAAATAAGTCAGACAGAAAAAGTCGAGAATCATATGACTTCTCTCACATGTGGGATATAAAACTGAAAGCAACAAACGAACAAGACAAACAAAGAATTATAGGCACAGACTACAGTTTAGTGGTTACCAGAGGTTAAGGGGGAAGGGGAGTGGTAGAAGAGGGAAAAGGCGATCAAATATATGGTGCTGGAAGGAGAACTGACTGGGTGGTAAACACACAATGTGATATATAAATGATGTATTACAGAATTGTACACTTGAAACCTATATAATTTTATTAACCAATGTCATCCCCAATAAATTTAATAAAAAGAAAAAGAAAAGAGTAACTGTTGGTAGTGGTTGGAGGCAGTTACGGAGATTATCCAAAATAATTGATGGAGCATTATATTGTTACTAGAAAAGCTCAGAGCATTTTTTAAATCTTGCTGTTTGACGACTTTTTAAGAAAACAAGAAAAGCATTGTTACCTTTTTGAAGTGTCTGGTAATTTTCAAGAGCAGTAAGCCATTACCTTTTTGTGGTACTGTCTTGAGTATTCCATTGAAAAGACAAAACAGACTCACACTTGGGGGTTTATAATGCACTTCAAAATTATAGTTATAATTGAAATCTTTCACTATCTCCGTCACTAGCCCTATTTTATGACTCAACAAAGTTGCCTGCAATGTGTTTCTCAATTTTAGGTCTGCGCAAACAGGGTTTGGCATATCAATTCTAAAAGAGGTAAAGACGAACTCTGTTCATAGCTCTTAGCTCCTTGTGAGGTCACAAGGATGATGAAACATCAAGAAAAACAATACGGGGCCAGCCGAGTGGTGCGATGGTTAAGAGCTGGCTTGGGACGCCAGAGGGCCCCGGTTCGGATCCCACATATGAGGGCCAGTGACACTGCCCTCCACAGCTAAGATGCTGAACAACAGCTCAACCTGGAGCTGGGCTGCTGTGAGTCGCCGGCGACGGCGTAGGCTGCAGCCCCTGCTGCAGTGGGTTGCGATGGGCTACCGTGTGTAGCCAGCAGCCAGCGTGAGCGGCCAGCAGCCGCTGTGAGCAGCCGTCCAGAAGCTGGCGACTGATCTGCCTCACCCGGGAAGAGCGCAATGATGGTGCCAACTTGGGCCAGTGAAGCAACGTCCTCCACAACTAGACTGAAGAACAAAACAACAGCAACTTGTCTGTTCCCCATCCCCCAATTCCCCAGCACTGTTCCCATCCCAATTTCCCAATGAAAAAATCTTTAAAAAAAAAAAAAGAAAAACAATAGGGCAATTGGAATTGGCAACTTTGATCTTAGCTCAACTAGTCCAGCTGTGGAGCTGTGAACCTGAAGGGTTTAGTATGTATCCTGAGACAGAGAGAATCACTCCCGTCTCTTGAGGTAAAGGAAAAGTCCGAGTGATTCTCTCATAGGTTCCTTTCCATTAATGCTAACTTTTTTCTCAGAGGGAAACTCAGTTCTGATTTCCTATTTTCCTTCTCCGAAAGGGG